GTCGGCAAACTTAATGATGGTGTTGGAGTCGTGCCTGGCCCTGCAGTCATGGGTGAACAGGGAGTACAGGAGGGGACTGAGCACGCACCCCTGAGGGGCCCCCGTGTTGAGGATCAGTGTGGCAGATGTGTTGTTACCTACCCTTACCACCTGGGGGCGGCCCGTCAGGAAGTCCAGGATCCAGTTGCAGAGGGAGGTGTTTTGTCCCAGGATCCTTAGCTTAGTGATGAGCTTTGAGGGCACTATGGTGTTGAATGCTGAGCTGTAGTCAATGAATAGCATACTCACGTAGGTGTTCCTCTTGTCCAGGTGGGAAAGGGCAGTGTGGAGTGCAATAGAGATTGCATCATCTGTGGATCTGTTGGGGTGGTATGTAAATTGGAGTGGGTCTAGGGTTTCTGGGATAATGGTGTTGATGTGAGCCATGACCAGCCTTTCAAAGCACTTCATGGCTACAGACGTCAGTGCTACGGGTCGGTAGTCATTTAGGCAGGTTATCTTAGTGTCCTTGGGCACAGGGACTATGGTGGTCTGCTTGAAACATGTTGATATTACAGACTCAGTCAGGGACATGTTGAAAATGTCAGTGAAGACACTTGCCAGTTGGTCAGCACATGCTCGGAGTACACGTCCTGGTAATTCGTCTGGCCCTGCGGCCTTGTGAATGTTGACCTGCTTAAAAGTCTTGCTCACATCGGCTACGGAGAGCGTGATCACATAGTCATCCGGAACAGCTGGTGCTCTCATGCATGCTTCAGTGTTCCTTGCCTCGAAGCGAGCATAGAAGTAATTTAGGTCGTCTGGTAGGCTTGTGTCACTGGGCAGCTCGCAGCTGTGCTTGCCTTTGTAGTCTGTAATAGTTTTCAAGCCCTGCCACATCTAACGAGCATCGGAGCCGGTGTAGTACGATTCAATCTTAGTCCTGTATTGACTCTTTGCCTGTTTGATGGTTCGTCGGAGGGCATAGCGGGATTTCTTATAAGCGTCCGGGTTAGAGTCCCGCTCCTTGAAAGCGGCAGCTCTACCCTTTTGCTCAGTGCGGATGTTGCTTGTAATCCATGGCTTCTGGTTGGGGTATGTACGTACGGTCACTGTGGGGACGACATCATCGATGCACTTATTGATGAAGCCAGTGACTGATGTGGTGTACTCCTCAATGCTATCTGAAGAATCCCGGAACATGTTCCAGTCTGTGCTAGGAAAACAGTCCTGTAGCTTAGCATCTGCGTCATCTGACCACTTTTTTATTAACCGAGTCACTGGTGCTTCCTGCTTTAGTTTTTGCTTATAAGCAGGAATCAGGAGGATAGAGTTATGGTCAGATTTGCCAAATGGAGGGCGAGGGAGAGCTTTGTATGCGTCTCTGTGTGTGGAGTAAAGGTGGTCTAGAGTTTATTTTCCTCTGGTTGCACATTTAACATGCTGGTAGAAATTAGGTAGAACAGATTTAAGTTTCCCTGCATTAAAGTCCCCGGCCACTAGGAGCGCTGCCTCTGGATGAGTGTTTTCCTGTTCACTTATGGCCTTATACAGCTCATTCAGTGCAATCTTAATGCCAGCATTGGTTTGTGGTGGTAAATAGACAGCCATGAAAAATATAGATGAAAACTCTCTTGGTAAATAGTGTGGTCTACAGCTTATCATAAGATACTCTACCTCAGGCGAGCAAAACCTTGAGACTTCCTTAGTATTAGATTTTGTGCACCAGCTGTTGTTTACAAATATACACAGACCGCCACCCCTTGTCTTACCGGAGTCAGCCGTTCTATCCTGCCGATGTAGCGTATAGCCCGCTAGCTGTATGTTGTCCATGTCGTTGTTCAGCCACGACTCTGTGAAACATAAGATATTACAGTTTTTAATGTCCCGTTGGTAGGATAACCGTAATCTTAGGTCATCCAATTTATTCTCAAATGATTGAACGTTGGCTAATAGGATTGATGGAAGAGGCAGTTTACTCGCTCGCCGTCGGATCCTTACAAGGCACCCCGACCTACGTCCACGATATCTCCGTCTCTTTCTCATGCGAATGACGGGGATTTGGGCCTTGTCGGGTGTCTGTAGGATATCGTTCGCGTCTGACGTGTTGAATAAAAAATATTCGTCCAATACGAGGTCAGTAATCGCTGTCCTGATATCCAGAAGCTCTTTTTGGTTATAAGAGACGATGGCAGAAACATTATGTACAGAATAAATTACTAATAATGGTACAATTGGTTAGAGGGCTGTAAAACGGCAGCCATCTTCTCCGGCGCCATTATCTGGAAGGCCCTATTGAGCCCATAGTTTTACATTTACATTTTAGTCATTTAGCAGACGCTCTTATCCAGAGCGACTTACAGTTAGTGAGTGCATTTCATTTTCATACATTTTACCTTTGTATATCCTTGTCACAGTCCATTGCTCCTCAGGGTTGTCAAATGAAAGAAACACTTCAATGTTGCCTCAGTCCGGTGCATAACTGAACAGTCACTGACCAGGTGTTTCCCACAGGACAAGTCATCTCAGGACCTTGCTATAATAAATAGTCCCATAAATAAAAAGCATTTATATGGCGGAGTCGCTCAGTCGGGAGGCGCTTATATGTATGGGTGTATTCATTAATGCACACAGTAGAACACGTTTTGCAACGAAAACGAGAGTTTCTATTGGACAAATTCAGTTAGGTCCCTCCCCGTTTCGTTCCGTTTGCTTTCGTTTAAGAAACGTTTCGCAACAGAATCGGGGTAATGAACTCGCCCCTGCTGGGAGCTATTGGACCACGTGACTGGATAGTAGACGTTAGGGCAGCCATCGTTTTACCTAATTCATGTCCAACCCAAAATGGGAAAGAGGTGCAAGGACTGGAGAGGATAGATCGAACAGCAATGGAATAGCTTGGGAATTATGTTTAAATTGCAAAACCTCGCATTTCCAATCCTCTCTGTAGATTTTATTGGTTGTAAAGAAGAAGTTACCGAGCCAAGGTGAGTTTTATTTCGTTCGTTTGTGTTTTTTGTAGATCTTTTGTTTCGGCGTTACTTTGGCTTTCCTGTCTGAATAATTGACTATTCAAGGTTTTAGACGCAAACAATACATGTCATGAAGAGGGATATAGCTTCGTTGATTTATCAAGTATCAAATGCCACGAAGTCAGAGTTGTATTAATTTATTTTCAACAAGGAATCTCACCAATCTTTGCCGCCACACCCGCACGTATCTACATGATTACGACTAGTGACACGCTTCCTGTGTTAAGGCTACAAAGTAACCGTACATTCACCTTGTTAGTGGGCCAGTCCAGTGGTCATAGCTGACTTCCAGCTGGGGTGTATGTTCTGTGTGTGTTAGCTAATAGGGAGTAGCCTAGCTACCTTGCTATATAGGTCAGGTAATGGCTAACTCACTCCATCAGCTGCCATGAGTGTGGTACGTTTTAGAAAAGCTGTAGCCTCAATTTAGCAATACGATAGACTTGCTAAGTGACATAAAACAATTGTTATTGTGTGCAATGCATTCAACTGATTGTCTAGTAATTAATTGGGCTACTGTCATACCATAACCAACTGTGTCTGTCGCATTTAGGTCCCAAAACAGCTCTATAGTACCAGGCTAGCTAGATCCTGTTATAGGACATATATCAGGGTTGGTACCAGGCTAGCTAGATCCTGTAATAGGAGATATATCAGGGTTGGTACCAGGCTAGCTAGATCCTGTAATAGGAGATATATCAGGGTTGGTACCAGGCTAGCTAGATCCTGTTATAGGAGATATATCAGGGTTGGTACCAGGCTAGCTAGATCCTGTTATAGGAGATATATCAGGTTTGGTACCAGGCTAGGTAGATCCTGTTATAGGAGATATTTCAGGTTTGGTACCAGGCTAGCTTGATCCTGTTATAGGAGATATTTCAGGTTTGGTACCAGGCTAGCTAGATCCTGTTATATGAGATATATCAGGGTTGGTACCAGGCTAGCTAGATCCTGTTATAGGAGATATATCAGGTTTGGTACCAGGCTAGGTTGATCCTGTTATAGGAGATATTTCAGGTTTGGTACCAGGCTAGCTAGATCCTGTTATAGGAGATGTATTATTCAGGTTTGGTACCAAGTGCTAGCGTAAGAATCTCATGTCTAAGAGGCATATAATCCAGGTGTTTGGGTCCAGCTAGGTAGATCCGTTAATAGGAGATATTCAGGTTTGGTACCAGGCTAGCTAGATCCTGTTATAGGAGATATATCAGGTTGGTACCAGGCTAGCTAGATCCTGTTATAGGAGATTATCAGGGCGTAGTTAGTGGGTAACAGCGTGTGTCCAGTTAACGAAATGTCAGTGGTTCGTAATCCCTGAGATCCGACTAGGTGAAGAAATCGTCGATGTGCCTAAGCAAGGCACTAACCTAATGCTCTGTAATCGCTTGATAGAGCGTTGCCAAGTGACTAAATGTAAAGGAAATTAGATATCAGGGTTGGTACCAGGCTAGCTAGATCCTGTAATAGGAGATATATCAGAGCATCTAGCCAGCAGCATCACTGTTCGTGGTCACTTCTTGACTGGGTCATTGGTGACAGTCCTCTGTTTCAGTACTGTAGCGTCTGTACTTCAGCCGCAAGACCGTTAGAATTGTGACGTTATTATGATTGCAGGTCGACCTACACACCTAAACTAAATCTTAATTTGACACAAAAGAAGTTCAGCCTAAATGTGGACTCGGTCAACACAAGAGACTAGTGTTCCCTTGGCTAAATCCTTTAGAGTCCCCGTCTGCATCTCAATCAGCTCCTTACTAACCCAGGGGCCTGGAAACCCCCAAGACAACCAGCTACAGGACTGCAGGACCTAACACACCAAAAACACTAGCCTCTCTCCTCCTCCACCTTCGCTCACATTCATTTATGGATGAGAGTATATGAATAGGGACGGGTACAAACACAACAAGCATCCAATGTGTTGCACCATAGTGTGTGGCTCAGGCAAATGTTCCCGCAAACGTCCTTAGATTTAACTAAAAGTCTAAACAAATGCAGGAATTCCGCCAATATTGGCAGACCACCAGGAAAGGGGTAGTAGTTACCATCGCTATTCGCTAATCATTTTTAAATGTAATCTCTTTATGCTATTACCTATAGCCTGTGAAGCGTGTGGTTTAAAATTCAGAACTTGTCAGCACAACAGTGGTGGTTCTTCTGAGAAAGGGGGAATGAAGGGGGAAATAATGGTTAAGCTGTGTCCCAAATGACACCCTATTCCGTACATAGTGCACTACTTTTGACCAGAGCCCTATCAAAAGTAGTGCACTACATAGGGAATAGGGTGCTATTTGGGTCACAAGCCTAAGTCTGCAGCACAAAGCATGTGCAAATTAACATGTTTCATTCTCCCTGGCCTGAGGCCCTGAAGGCTGGACAGGCATTGAGAAGGACGATTGTTTACATCAGGCTGTGATCCCAAATCACTCCCTATTTAGTGCACTACTTTTGACTAGGGCCCTATAGGGCGCTGGTTAAAAGTAGTGCACTATGTAGGAAATAGGGTGCCATTTGGGACGTGGACCCAAAGAGTGGCCACCGGCTGCTGGGGTATTCTTCCCCTCTGTTTGGCCATCACTGAGGAGACATGCCCCATTTAAATGGTTGTTTACTTGCATTAGAAAAAGAGCCAAAACACTTCTCAATGAACTCTTGTCTACAATTCAATTAGTGTGCCCTAACCTTTTCCTTCTCAGCAGCAGCTAGCACGGTTTAGTTCCTGGTACCACAGTTCCCTGGATGTCTTTAGTTCCCTGGCTGTATGGTACCACAGTTCCCTGGATGTCTTCAGTTCCCTGGATGTCTTCAGTTCCCTGGATGTCTTCAATTCCCTGGCTGTATGGTACCACAGTTCCCTGGATGTCTTCAGTTCCCTGGATGTCTTCAGTTCCCTGGATGTCTTTAGTTCCCCGGCTGTATGGTACCACAGTTCCCTGGATGTCTTTAGTTCCCTGGCTGTATGGTACCACAGTTCCCTGGATGTCTTCAGTTCCCTGGATGTCTTTAGTTCCCTGGCTGTATGGTACCACAGTTCCCTGGATGTCTTCAGTTCCCCGGCTGTATGGTACCACAGTTCCCTGGATGTCTTCAGTTCCCGGCTGTATGGTACCACAGTTCCCTGGATGTCTTCAGGTTCCCTGGCTGTATGGTACCACAGTTCCCTGGTGTCTTCAGTTCCCCGGCTGTATGGTACCACAGTTCCCTGGATGTCTTCAGTTCCCTGGCTGTATGGTACCCAGTTCCCTGGATGTCTTCAGTTTCCCTGCTGTATGGTACCACAGTTCCATGGATGTCTTTAGTTTCCCTGGCTGTATGGTACCACAGTTCCCTGGATGTCTCAGTTCCCTGGCTGTCTTCAGTTCCCTGGGCTGTCTTCAGTCCCTGGCTGTATGGTACCACAGTTCCCTGGATGTCTTTAGTTCCCCCCGGCTGTATGGTACCACAGTTCCCTGGATGTCTTTAGTTCCCCGGCTGTATGGTAACCACAGTTCCCTGGATGTCTTTAGTTCCCTGGCCGTAATGGTACCACAGTTCCCTGGATGTCTTAGTTCCCCTGGCTGTATGGTACCACAGTTCCCTGGATGTCTTCAGTTCCCTGGCTGTATGGTACCACAGTTCCCTGGATGTCTTCAGTTCCCTGGCTGTATGGTACCACAGTTCCCTGGATGTCTTCAGTTCCCCGGCTGTATGGTACCACAGTTCCCTGGATGTCTTCAGTTCCCTGGCTGTATGGTACCACAGTTCCCTGGATGTCTTCAGTTCCCTGGCTGTATGGTACCACAGTTCCCTGGATGTCTTTAGTTCCCCGGCTGTATGGTACCACAGTTCCCTGGATGTCTTTAGTTCCCCGGCTGTATGGTACCACAGTTCCATGGATGTCTTTAGTTCCCTGGCTGTATGGTACCACAGTTCCCTGGATGTCTTCAGTTCCCTGGCTGTATGGTACCACAGTTCCCTGGATGTCTTCAGTTCCCTGGCTGTATGGTACCACAGTTCCCTGGATGTCTTCAGTTCCCTGGATGTCTTCAGTTCCCTGGCTGTATGCTTGTCCCCTAGCAACATGTGCTATCTTCTGTCCTAACAACATGGACAGAACTACGGATAGAATCGATCAGACATGCTAATGATCGTAAATTACACAGCTGAGCTGAGCCAGTAAAGTGCATAATTTTGTTCATTGGACTTCCTGTTAGACAATGTGAACTCGTGGCAATAAACACATTTTGAATTTGATTTGAACCATTGATTAAGTTGGCACTTGGTGCAATATAGGTGAGTAGTGGTGCAATACAGTGTTCCAAGCTACGCCAACTGTTGCTTTAAGATTGCAACATTTTGAGTGGGGCAAGAAATGGTCAGAAACGGGTCAGGGCAAGTAGTGCACTATAAAGGGAATACGGTGCCATTTGGGCCGCAGAGTCTGTGGTCTGTAGCTCTGTCTAGTGGCTTGGCACTGCAGTCGCAGACCAGTAGCCTCGTGTTTTCTTGCCCTGGAAAACCACAGACAGTAACAGCATGTTTTATGTTTTTTAAGCCTGAAGTTGTATGATTGCTTTTCCTGTTATCCCCTGACCAGACGATTGTATAATAGGAAATGGTTAGAGATTTCTGCCCTCTTATTTCCTATTTTTGGAAATTGTGGGCATAGTTTTAGTTTGTCTGAACAGGGTGAAGTTTTACAGCAGAGATGGAAATCCACTGTATATTCCCTGGTTGTCTCACGGTCTGTCTTTCCATTGGAAATAGCAGGGCCTCCCAGTTGCAAATAATGCTGTTATTATTTGGTTTACACACCCAGATCAGACTTCCTCCTCGAAGGCTGTCAGTTATTTTTTCATTCTGATAGTAAATTTAGCTGGAACAAGCAGACCTGTTTAGCTGGAAAAACATGAAATCGAGTTCAGCTAATCAATTCTCTCATCATTCCAAATTACTGACTGGTGAGTTCAAAGTTGTATTTTTATGCCCTGTTATTGAGTTATTTAGTCATACTAAGCCTTTCCAGGATAGGAATTTCTTTCAGCGATGAGTGATGTTGCCCTCAACCTTGGTGGAGTCATTTTATGGAATATTTCAAATATTGTGAAGACCGAATGATTTCATAATGCTGTAATCTGCTGTAGCTCAATTGGTAGAGCACGGTGCTTGTAACACCAGGGTAGTGGGATCGATCCCCGGGACCACCCATACACAAAAATGTATGCACGCATGACTGTAAGTCGCTTTGGATAAAAGCGTCTGCTAAATGGCTTATTATTATTATTATTATTATTATTATTATTATTATTATCTGTTCCAGTGATTGGACACAGTTTAATATGAATATCAACATCCAAGCCCTCTATAGTGTTTTTAAGGGCCTGCTGCACGTATATAGCCAGCCATAGTCGATTGATTAGCCAGCAGCTGTGGGTTAAAGCGCTGAACTGAGGCAGTTATGAAATGCTAATCTCATATAATTAGCAGATGCTTTTTATCCAAAGTGACTTACAGTACATTGAGTGCATGCATGTTTAGTATGTGAACCCTGCGTGTGGGAATTTAACCTACGACCTTGCTATTAGCTCCAGGCTCTTACTAACTGATCCACACAGGACCATATTATAGTGATTGGGGAATAGGATACGAGTTGTTGGTGACTAACGTTCAACCTCTCTTCTCCTCCTTCATCTTCCCTTCCTCCTATTTCTTCCAGGTGGGTTTAAACCAGCACCTGGCCTGATCCTGTTACCTGGTAACCAGTAACAGGGCACCAATCCTAGCCTCCTGATTGGCTGTGACAGAAGCGGTCTGTGCAGAGGAGGGGGCAACCCGAAAACTAACTGCTTTGCTCCCCCCTTCTTTTCTTTGTTTTGAGGAGGGAGGGGGAGGACTAGGGAGGAGGACTTGGCAGGAGAAGGAGAACTGCAGGAGGAGGCCTCGGCAGGAGGAGGAGTGCTCTGTGTGTGTTCTAACTTCTCAGAGGAGCATGGGGCAGAGCGTCCCTGGAGGCATAAAGACTATTGACATGAAGGACCCGGCGTTCAGGCCTCTGGAGCTGGCAGCTCTGGACCACGCCAAGCCCTCCAGGCTGGACCTGCTGCTGGACATGCCCCCTGCTGGACAGGAGGTCCAGATGCAGCACTCCTGGAACAACAACGACCGATCCCTCAACATCTTTGTCAAGGACGACAACAAACTGGTCTTCCACCGGCACCCCGTGGCTCAGAGCACGGACGCCATCCGGGCCTGTATCGGCTACACCCGGGGGCTCCACATCTGGGAGATAAACTGGGCCATGAGACAGCGGGGAACGCACGCCATCGTCGGTGTGGCGACAGGAGACGCGCCTCTTCATTCTGTAGGCTACACGACCCTGGTGGGTAATAACCACGAGTCCTGGGGCTGGGACCTGGGACGGAATAAACTTCACCACGATGGGAAGAACCAGCCCAGTAAGACATACCCTGCATTCCTGGAGCCGGATGAGACGTTTCTAGTCCCCGACTCGTTCCTGGTAGTGTTGGACATGGACGAGGGGACTCTGAGCTATATAGTGGACGGACAGTACCTGGGGGTGGCTTTCAGAGGGCTCAAGGGGAGGAAGCTGTATCCTGTCGTCAGTGCTGTGTGGGGGCACTGTGAAATACGAATCCGGTACATCAATGGACTTGATCGTAAGTAGTGTCTGTAACAGAGCTCTCTAACCCTGTTCCTGGAGAGCTAACCTCCTGTAGGTTCACTCCAGCCCTGTTCCTGGAGAGCTAACCTCCTGTAGGTTCACTCCAGCCCTGTTCCTGGAGAGCTAACCTCCTGTAGGTTCACTCCAGCCCTGTTCCTGGAGAGCTAACCTCCTGTAGGTTCACTCCAGCCCTGTTCCTGGAGAGCTAACCTCCTGTAGGTTCACTCCAGCCCTGTTCCTGGAGAGCTAACCTCCTGTAGGTTTACTCCAGCCCTGTTCCTGGAGAGATAACCTCCTGTAGGTTTTCACTCCAACCCCAGTTGTAACTAACCTGATTCAGCTTATCAACCAGCTAATTATTAGAATCAGGTGTGCTAGATTAGGGTTGGACTGAACCTACAGGACGGTAGCTCTCCAGGAACAGGGTTAGAGAGCCCTGGCCTATAATATGATATTTTCTTAACTGTAAGGGTTCAGGGTTGGCTTTGGTGTTTGCTCTGAGACATGGTTTTAGACTTTCTAAAGTCTACTACAGCCACGTCTCACAGCCAGCTGAAGTCCTGGGCGCTTTGGAACGTTCAGAAATATGCTATGTAGAACAAACATGCCTCTCTGACATGCATTAGGACAGGGTTCTTCAATTCCGGTCCTGGAGGGCCGAAACACCTCTGTTTTTCATCCTCTCCTTCTAATCAGGGGCTAATTCAGACCTGGGACACCAGGTGAGTGCAATTAACTACCAGGTAGAAATAAAAACAAAAAACAGAAGTGTTTCAGCCCTCCAGGACCGGAATTGAAGAACCCTGCGTTAGGATAAGGAATCATGTTGGCTCTAGTTATGACATTTTCTATCTGTAACGTTTGAAAACATTAGGGCTACTGCTTGTGTTCCTAGCTATCCCTTAATAATTCCTCTCTAGCTTTAGTAGAAGTGTCTGTCTGGACATTGGGTTGTGGTTGAAATCAGGGTGGGAAATTTAACTTTTTGCTCCACCAGTCACTGGCAGGTAAATGGGGAAAAAAAAATCACTGATCTTTTACCAGCGAAAAATATTTTTCCCATAATTACACAAAATCACAAATAACTGAATGAGCGTTCTTTGTAATGTTTTAAAACAAGAAATGTATTGCTAGTATGAAGTAATGTGGTATATTGCTCAATTACATTTGTGACCTGAGTATTTTTAAACAGTTATGTTAAAATAAATAATTTTGATACAATAGTCAAACGGAGAAACAGTTGTACAACTAAACATCAAGAATCAACGAAAGTCCCTGCGCTGCCGCAAAATGCTCCGTGTTATGGCTTATTTTATTATTATTAGTTCAGGGCTCTAACACTGACCGTTTTTACAATGAGTACATAAGTTGTTATTTAGGAACACACAAATAAATGTAGGAACACAGTGAAATTATTTGAGTGTTTTTTAATGATAAATGACTAAAAGATTTTTGTAGTGTTACACGCTCAATCAAGCACAATGTACCCCCAAATATGAGTCATTCGGTGAGAGCAAAATGTTCAGCTGCCCCTTTTTAAGTTTAACGGCACTTGTCTGTCTGTCAGAGATGAGAATCTCTGTCTGCGCTAGCAGCAGAGAGTTGCAGCAAACACGAAACTAATATTGAAAAACAACCTAATATGTGAACAAAACGATGTAACTAGCCAAGAAACACCAGGACGAAGTCCCACTTCAGTAGCCTTTCAGGTCAATTCAAACCAACTTCTACATTTTGGCTTTGGATTGACCAGCGTCGCTGCACAGCTATTTTCAGGTCTCTCCAGAGATGTTAGATCGGGTTCAAGTCCAGGCTCTGACTGGGACACTCTAGGACATTCAGATACTTGTCCCGAAGCCACTCCTGCGTTGTCTTGGCTGTGTGCTTAGGGTCGTTATCCTGTTGGAAGGTGAACTTTCACACCAGTCTGAGGTCCTGAGCGCTCTGGAGCAGGTTTTCATCAGGTATCTCTCTGTACTTTGCTTCGTTCATCTTTCCCTCGATCCTGACTAGTCTCCCAGAACCTGCTGCTGAAAAACATCCCCACAGCATGATGCTGCCACCACCATGCTTCACCGTAGGGATGGTGCCAGGTTTCCTCCAGATGTGACGCTTGGCATTCAGGCCAAAGAGTTCAGTCTTGTTTCTCATGGTCTGAAAGACTTTAGGTTTCTTTTGGCAAACTCCAAGCTGGCTTTCATGTGCCTTTTTACTGAGGAGTGGCTTCCGTCTGGCCACTCTACCATAAAGGCCTGATTGGTGGAGTGCTGCAGAGATGGTTGTCCTTCTGGAAGTTTCTCCCATCTCCACAGAGGAACTTGGTAGCTCTTTCAGAGTGACCATCGGTTTCTTGGTCACCTCCCTGACAAAGGCCCTTCTCCCCCGATTGTTCAGTTAAGCCGGGTGGCCAGCTCTAGGAAGAGTCTTGGTGGTTCCAAACTTCTTCCATTTAAGAATGATAGTGGCCTCCATGTTCATGGGGACCTTCAATGCTGCAGACATTTTTTGGTACCTTTCTCCTGATCTGTGCATCGACACAATCCTGTCTCGGAGCTCTACGGACAATTCCTTCGAACTCATGGCTTCGTTTTTGTTCTGACATGCACTGTCAACTGTGGGAAATTATATAGACCGGTGTGTTCCTTTCCAAATTCATATCCAATCAATTGAATTAACCACAGGTGGACTCCAAACAAGTTGTAGAAACATGTCAAGGATGATCAATGGAAACAGGATGCACCTGAGCTCATTTTCAAGTCTCATAGCAAAGGGTCTGAATACTTATGTAAATATGGTATTTCTGTTTTTTATTTTGCACAAATTTCTAAAAAACTGTTTTTACTTTGTCATAATGGGGTATTGTGTGTAGATTGATGAGGATTTGTATTTATTTCATACATTTTAGAATAAGGCTGTAACGTAACAAAGTGGAAAAAGTCCAGGGGTCTGAATACTTTCCGAATGCACTGTACATGTCCTCGAAATAGTCGAAGTTAATCTAATATAAGTCAAGAAATCTGTGATTTAATTTAGACGTTTTTGCTGAGGAGATCTTAGTTGCCATCTCCTATACAGTGAGGGAAAAAAGTATTTGATCCCCTACTGATTTTGTACGTTTGCCCACTGACAAAGAAATTATCAGTTTATAATTTTAATGGTAGGTTCATTTGAACAGTGAGAGACAGAATAACAACAACAAAAAATCCAGAAAAACGCATGTCAAAAATGTTATAAATTGATTTGCATTGTAATGAGGGAAATCAGTATTTGACCCCCTCTCAATCAGAAAGATTTCTGGCTCCCAGGTGTCTTTTTTATACAGGTAACGAGCTGAGATTAGGAGCACTCCCTTTAAGGAGTGTGCTCCTAATCTCAGCTTGTTACCTGTATAAAAGACACCTGTCCTACAGAAGCAATCAATCAATCAGATTCCAAACTCTCCACCATGGCCAAGACCAAAGAGCTCTCCAAGGATGTCAGGGACAAGATTGTAGACCTACACAAGGCTGGAATGGGATACAAGACCATCGCCAAGCAGCTTGGTGAGAAGGTGACAACAGTTGGTGCGATTATTTGCAAATGGAAGAAGCACAAAATAACTGTCAATCTCCCTCGGCCTGGGGCTCCATGCAAGAGCTCACCTCGTGGAGTTGCAATGATCATGAGAACGGTGAGGAATCAGCCCAGAACTACACAGGAGGATCTTGTCAATGATCTCAAGGCAGCTGGGACCATAGTCACCAAGAAAACAATTGGTAACACACTACGCCGTGAAGGACTGAAATCCTGCAGCGCCCGCAAGGTCCCCCTGCTCAAGAAAGCACATATACAGGGCTGTCTGAAGTTTGCCAATGAACATCTGAATGATTCAGAGGAGAACTGGGTGAAAGTGTTGTGGTCAGATGAGACCGAAATCGAGCTCTTTGGCATCAACTCAACTCGCCGTGTTTGGAGGAGGAGGAATGCTGCCTATGACTCCAGACCTTAATCCCATAGAAAATATGTTAGAGGGAGCTGAAGGTTCGAGTTGCCAAACGTCAGCTTCGAAACCTTAATGACTTGGAGAAGATCTGCAAAGAGGAGTGGAACAAAATCCCTCCTGAGATGTGTGCAAACCTGGTGGCCAACTACAAGAAACGTCTGACCTCTGTGATTGCCAACAAGTGTTTTGCCACCAATTACTAAGTCATATTTTGCAGAGGGGTCAAATAATTATTTCCCTCATTTAAAATGCAAATCAATTTATAACATTTCTGACATCCGTTTTTCTGGATTTTTGTTGTTGTTATTCTGTCTCTCACTGTTCAAATAAACCTACCATTTAAAATTATAGACTGATCATGTCTTTGTCAGTGGGCAAATGTACAAAATCAGCAGGGGATCAAATACTGTGGACCATAGGAATTGGCAAGAGCGCACAAACAGATCTGGGACCAGGCTTTTCTGGTGTACGTTAATGTTTTAATGGGCCCAACCTTTGACCTTTGTTACACCCAAGTTAATTACATCAATAAACACTGAACTTGTGTGGGCACTCTATTCCCTACACTACTTTTGACCACAGTTTTGAGCACAATTTCGTTTATTGATGTAATGAACTTGGGTGTAACAGTACATTCAAAGGTTGGGCCCATTTTAAAACACATTACTGCACACCAAGGTTACACCAGAGAACTGAGGATTTGTAGCCTGGTCCCAGATCTTTGTGCTCTCTTGCCAGTTCCTATGGTCACTGTTAATGTATAGGAGTTGGCAAGACAACACAAACAGATCTGGGGACCAGGCTAGAACAGACTACAGTTAGGTTAGCCTGGTCCCAGATCTGCTAGTGCTGTTTTCCCAAACTTTAGCCAATTCAGCAAGACCACCTAAACAGATATGGGACCAGGTTAACAGGTAGAGACATTGATTCCAACTACTATGTAAGCCAGTTGGGCACTACCTGATAATGTGCCACTGGCATCGTGATTACATTTGATCTCTCTGTCCTATGCCCCAGATACAACAGAAAATTAATCATTTAACAAACCTGTTGATCACTTTGATCTAGGTTTGGGTAACATTTTCTGTAGTAAGGAGTCGAAGGAGAATAGTCCTTTTCAAGTAATCACTGATCTGACATAACTAGAATGGTGTACTGTAAAGCCTGTCGCATGCTTCCCAGTCGAAACAACAGTTCCCACACATACTGAACAAAAATATAAACAGAACATGCAACAATTTCAACGATTTTACTGAGTTACAGTTCATATAAGGAAATCAGTCAATTGAAATAATTTCAGTAGGCCCTAATCTATGGATTTCACATGACTGGGCAGGGGTGCAGCCATGGGTGGGCCTGGGAGGGCATAGGCCAATCCACTTGGGAGCCAGGCCCACCCACTGGGGAGATGGACCAGCCAATCAGAATGAGTTTTTCCCCACATAAGGGCTTTATTTCAGACAGAAATACTCCTCAGTTTCATCAGCTGTCCGGGTGTCTAGTCTCAGACGATCCCGCAGGTGAAGAAGCGTCCTGGGCTGGCTTGGTTTCACGTGGTCTGTGGTCTGCGGTTGGACGTACTGCCAAATTCTCTAAAACGACGTTGGAGGCGGCTTATGGTAGAGAAATGAACATTCAATTATTTGGCAACAGCTCTGGTGGACATTCCTGCAGTCAGCATGCCAATTGCACGCTCCCTTAACATTTTACATTTCCGTCATTTAGCAGACGCTCTTATCCAGAGCGACTTACAAATTGGTGTGTTCACCTTATGATAGCCAGTGGGACAACCACTTTACAATATATCAAATTATTTTTTTTTTTTTTGGGGGGGTAGGGTAGGGGGAGGGTAGAATGATTACTTTTATCCTATCCCAAATATTCCTTAAAGAGGTGGGGTTTCAAGTGTCTCCGGAAGGTGGTGAGTGACTCCGCTGTCCTGGCATCGTGAGGGAGCTTGTTCCACCATTGGGGTGCCAGAGCAGCGAACAGTTTTGACTGGGATGAGCGGGAACTGTGCTTCCGCAGAGGTAGGGGGGCCAGCAGGCCAGAGGTGGATGAACGCAATGCCCTCGTTTGGGTGTAGGGACTGATCAGAGCCTGAAGGTACGGAGGTGCCGTTCTCCTCACAGCTCCGTAGGCAAGCACCATGGTCTTGTAGCAGATGCGGGCTTCAACTGGAAGCCAGTGGAGTGTGCGGAGGAGCGGGGTGACGTGAGAGAACTTGGGAAGGTTGAACACCAGACGGGCTGCAGCGTTCTGGATGAGTTGTAGGGGTTTAATGGCACAGGCAGGGAGGCCCAGCCAACAGCGAGTTGCAGTAATCCAGACGGGAGATGACACGTGCCTGGATTAGGACCTGTGCCGCTTCCTGTGTAAGGTAGGGTCGTACTCTGTGAATGTCGTAGAGCATGAACCTACAGGATCGGGTCACCGCTTTGATGTTGGCGGAGAACGACAGGGTGTTGTCCAGGGTCACGCCAAGGTTATTTGCACTCTGGGAGGAGGACACAACGGAGTTGTCAACCGTGATGGCGAGATCATGGAGCGGGCAGTCCTTCCCCGGGAGGAAGAGCAGCTCCGTCTTGCCGAGGTTCAGCTTGAGGTGGTGATCCGTCATCCACACTGATATGTCTGCCAGAGATGCGATTCGCACACCTTAAAACTTGAGACATCCGTGGCATTGTGTTGTGTCACAACTGCACATTTGAGTGGCCTTTTATTGTCCCCAGCACAAGGTGCACCTGTGTAATGATCATGTTCAATCAGCTCCTCAGGTGGATGGATTATCTTGGCAAAGGAGAAATGCTCACTAACAGGGATGTAAACAAATTTGAGAGAAATTTTGTGTGTATGGAAAATTTCTGGTGTGTTTTTTTTATTTCGGCTCATGAAACATGGGACCAACACTTTACATGTTGCGTTTTTATATTTTTGTTCAGTATATATTATGACTATTTCTGACATTTTTGGATGATTTGGTGTTCGGCGAGTTTTTGGGGGGGGCTGTTCGCGCGCACAATTTTTTCTTGGGGCACGTCGAAGTTCGGTAGCCGAAGTCAACACCCCTTCATTGGTGAACAGTACTACTACTAGTAGGAGTCAACTAAGGACGCGATTCTTCAACTAAGTGTTTGTCAGTCAACGAGAGACGACTAGTTTTAATCCTAATTTTTTCACTTGAAAAATATTGCATCAAAACATCTTAGTTAGATGTAAAATTGTGCGACTAAAATCTCCTCATCAAAAAATTGCAGCAATTACAAATTTCTTGATTTACTGTATATTAGATTAACAGACTATTTTGAGGAAGTGTATACTGGCTATGTTGCTACGGCGTCTCAAGAGGGACAAACAGTAATATTGCCACTTTTTCTTTTCTTTTTTCTAATTTTTCAAGCGAAGATCTTTTAAGGGAGGATGCGAGGCACAGATGTTCACTTCGCTTAGCCGAGTTCTTCTAGGAGTAAACCGAACCTAGTATGCTGGCGCCTTAAGCCTCAAGCTCTCCATTGCATTGCTTTCACCAATTTATGTCATGTCAGAAGCCAGGAAGGAAGAATATTCAAACTGGGCCCAGGAGTTGTTCCTCACCATGTGATCTGACCATGAAAAACTCTGGCCCCTAGATTCCATCTCTAGTCTAGAACGTCTCATTCTGCCGTGAGACCGTGAGAGCTTGATGCTCTCTCTCCCTCCCCAAAGGGCTTTATTGGCATGGGAAACATATGTTTACATTGCCAAAGCAAGTGAAATGGATAACAAACAAAAGTGAAATAAACAATCTGAAATGAATAGTAAACATTACGTTACTCTGAAAAGTTTGACATTTCAAATGTTCTATTATGGCCATGTACAGTGTTGTAACAATGTGCAAATAGTTGAAGTTAGGGCTGGGCGATATTGCCAAAATACGTATCATATTACAGTATTTTTGACTATTTTTTGTGTTTTTTTGAATAATAAAAGTTCTAAATTTGCTTTTTTGAGTAGTGCGTGACCCTAGGGTGGCAACACATACATTCTAAGTCAATGGGTCTTTCTCCATTCTGATTTGTTTTATACTGTTCAATTCAACTACAACCCAAAAATAATTTCTGCATTTCCTCATTGGAGATCATTTGCACACTGCCACGTAGGGCTGCATGATATGGGTAAACAATCTAAGCCATATTTTTAACCCAAATGTTGCAATTGCGATTTGACTTGCGATTTTAGAGCAAAAACACTTGGGTGAACTGTTGGAATCATGGAAATAGAATGATGATTGCATAGTTAGAATAGAATAATGGGCACTTTGAATACAGTGTTGTTTGACAAGACAACGAATGAAAATGCCAGGGAGGGGTTATTGTGACAGGGTAGGAACCAAAGTGTTGGTCAGTGTTTCCTTGGGGACCCTCTTATCTTTGGCTACGTTGAATGTTTTCTCTTAGCTACGTCATGTAGCGAACATATTCATGCTTCGCGTATTCCTGTTTGATTTAGAAGATACTGTTGCACAAACAACATGCTGATGGAGTTCTACACCATCACTGGTATTATCAGGCTGTATAGCTAGTTACGTTTGCTCTGGCTCAGTACATTTTATTAGCTAGCTAACTAGCGATTAGCATTAGCGGCTAACACGATCCAGTCCAAACTTGCTAAGAAAAGACAAACTAGCCGTTTTGCAGATGTAAGGAACGCAAACTAATAGTGTAATTATAAAAACGTTAGTGGATTAATATTAAGAAACAAAGTGAAAAACAGCATCGTTATCATCAACATTGTTGTATGCGCTGCATTGACCATGCAGAGACTGAACTCAAGTGTCTCATGGTCAAGCAACAACAGGGGGCGGGGCTAGGTCTGTGGAAAGCGGCAGAGAGAGGACTCGAGTACTAAACTATAAAAAGGGAGGTTACACACGGCGTATCACATTTAACAAACCAAACGTTCAAATACCGTCATAGAAGGTAAAGTAAAAACCCAAACCGATCCGTGCATCAATACGGTATATCGTAAAATACGGTACACCGCCCAGTCCTAGTTGAAGTACAAAAGGGAAAATAAATATGGGTTGTATAGTGCATTCGGAAAGTGTTCAGACCCCTTTTGACTTTTTCCACATTTTTGTTACATTACAGCCTTATTATAAAATTGATTAAATAAAAAACATGTCCTCGTCATTCTACACACAATACCCCATAATGAAATGTTTGTGAATTTAATTTTATAAAAACATACCTGATTTACATAAGTATTCAGACCCTTTGCTATAAGACTCGAAATGTAGCTCAGGTGCATCCTGTTTCCATTGCTCATCCTTGAGATGTTTCTACAACTTGATTGGAGCCTACCTGTGGTAAATTCAATTGATTGGACATGATTTGGAAAGGAACACACCTGTCTATGTAAGGTCCCACAGTTGACAGTGCATATCAGAGCAGAAACCAAGCCATGAGGTCGAAGGAATTGTCCGTAGAGCTCAGAGACAGGATTGTGTTGAGGCACAGATCTGGGGAAGGATTCCAAAAAAAATCTGCAGCATTGAAGGTCCCCATGAACACAGTGGCCTCCATCATTCTTAAATGGAAGAAGTTTAGAACCACCAAGACTCTTCCTAGAGCTGGCCGCCCGGCCAAACTGAGCAATCGGGGGAGAAGGGCCTTGATCAGGGAGGTGACCAAGAACCCGATGGTCACTCTGACAGAGCTCTAGAGTTCCTCTGTGGAGATGGGAGAACCTCCCAGAAGGACAACCATCTCTGCAGCACTCCACCTATCAGGCCTTTATGGTCGAGTGACCAGAAGGAAGCCACCCCTCAGTGAAAGGCACATGACAGCCCGCTTGGAGTTTGCCAAAAGGCACCCAAAGGACTCTCAGACCATGAGAAACAAGATTCTCTGGTCTAATGAAACCAAGATTGAACTCTTTGGCCTGAATGCCAAGCGTCACGCCTGGAGGAAACCTGGCACCATCCCTACTGTGAAGCATGGTGGTGGCAGCATCATGCTGTGGGGATGTTTTTCAGCTGCAGGGACTGGGAGACTAGTCAGGATCAAGGGAAAGATGAATGAAGCAAAGTACAGAGAGATCCTTGATGAAAACCTGCTCCAGAGCGCTCAGACTGGGGCGAAGGTTCACCTTCCAACAGGATAACAAGCCTAAGCACACAGCAAAGACAATGCAGGAGTGGCTTCGGGACAAGTCTCCGAATGTCCTTGAGGGGCCCAGCCAGAGCTCGGACTTGAACCAGATCGAACATCTCTGGAGAGACCTGAAAATAGCTATGCAGCGACCCTCCCCATCCAACCTGACAGAGCGTGAGAGGATCTGCAGAGAAGAATTGGAGAAACTCCCCAAATACAAGTGTGCCAAGCTTGTAGCGTCATACCCAAGAACACTCAAGGCTGTAATCGCTGCCAAAGGTGCTTCAACAAAGTACTGGGAAAGGGTCTGAATACTTCTGTGAATGTGATATTTCAGTTATTTTTTGTAAATTTGCTAACATTTCTAAAAACCTGCTTTTGTTTTGTCATGATGGGGTATTGTGTGTAGATTATTGAGGGGGAAAAAACAATCATCCATTTTTAGAATAGAACGTAACAGTGGAAAAATTCAAGGGGTCTAAATCATTTCCGAATGCGTTATAGATAATGTTACTCAGTGGACAGTTTATTAGGTATACCACCCCGTTCACATGGTTCACTCCTACAGACAGTGAGTCACGTGGCTGTGGCTTGCTATATAAAGCAGGCATCGAGGCATTCAGTTACTGTTTGATGGAACGTTAGAATGGGTAAAACGAGTGACCTAAGCGACTGATGTGTGGTATGATCGTCGGTGCGAGGAATGCCAGTCAGAGTATCTCAGAAACAACCGACCTCCTGGGTTTTTCACGCACAACAGTGTCTAGGGTTTACTAAGAATGGTGCGACGAACAAAAAACATCCAGTCAGCGGCAGTCCTGTGAGCGAAAACAGCTTGTTGATGAGAGAGGTCGAAGGAGACTGGCAAGAATCATGCAAGCTTACAGGCGGGCCACAAACAGGCAAATAACGGCGCAGTACAATAGTGGTGTGCAGAACAGCATCTCAGAATGTACACTTGTCACGGATGGGCTATTGCAGCAGGCGACCACACCGGGTTCCACTCCTATCGGCTAACAACAAGAAGTGTCTCCAATGGGCATGCGTCCACCAGCACTGGACAATTGAGTAGTGGAAAATAATTGCCTGGTCCAATGACTCTCGGTTCCTGTTGTCATGCTGATGGCAGAGTCAGGATTTAGCGTAAGTAGCATGAGTCCATGGCGCTATCCTGCTTGGTGTCAAGGGGTACAGGCTTGTGGTGTAATGGTATGGGGAATGTTTTCCTGGCACACGTTAAGTCGCTTGATGCCAATTGAACAATGTTTGAACGCTACCGCGTATCTGAACATTGTTGCTGACTAGGTGCATCCCTTCATGGTACTAGATAGGTGGACTTAATAAACTTGCCACTTAGTGTTGAAGAGGGTGGGGCTTAAGCTGCTACCCTGCCTCACCCCACGGCCCTGTGGAAAGTAATATTATTTTGCTCATTTTTACTGAACACTTGTTGTTTGTGTACATGGATTTTATAATGTATGTTTTTCCCCCAACACCGCTTTCCATCCATTTGTATAGCAGACCCTCATGCCAAATTGAGTCAAAGGCTTTTTTTTAAATCAACGAAGCATGAGAAGACTTTGCTTTTGGGTTGTTTGTCAATTAGGGTGTGCAGGGTGAAAACGTGGTCTGTCGTACGGTAATTTGGTAAAAAGCCAATTTGACATTTGCTCAGTACATTGTTTTCACTGAGGAAATGAACTAGTCTGCTGTTAATGATAATGCAGAGGATTTACCCAAGGTTGCTGTTGACGCATATCCCATGGTAGTTATTGGGGTCAAATTTGTGTCCACTTTTGTGGATTGTGATGATCAGTCCTTGGGTCCAAATATTAGGGAAGATGCCAGAGCTGAGGATGATGTTTAAGTATAGCCAACTGGAATTTGTGGTCTGTATATTTTATAATTTAATTTAGGATACCATCAACACCACAGGCCTTTTTGGGTTGTGTTACAGCCTGAATTCAAAATGTATCTCACCCATCTACACACACACACACACACACAATGACGAAGTGAAAACATGTTTTTAGACATTTTTGCTAATTTATTAGAAATTAAAAGCAGAAATCTCATTCACGTAAGTATTCACACCCCTGAGTCAATACTTTGTAGAAGCACCTTTTGGCAGTGATTTTCTGGGTAAGTCTCTAAAGCTGTGTTCACATTGGAGGTTTGAAGTGACTCAAACCCGATTTATTGGCGTATAAGATATGTCTGAACAGCCAAAAAGAACATGGAATCGGATATTTCAAGCCACAATCAAGACAGATCCTAATCTGATTCCTGGCCATGTGACTTGTGTCTGAATGGTCAAATCTGATTTATTTGCCCTCAAGTGGTTTTTAGACTTATTTGGCATATCTTGTTGCTTGCTAGCTACTCTGACAGTTTGACAAGAACGTGGTAGCCAACTATCTTGTTAATTGTTTAGAAAGAAATTAGTGAATGTGCTAGAAAGCTAAACAGCTAGCTAGTTGACTGCTGTGGCTAGCCAAAAAGGACTTGTTTTGAAAATTGGATTATATTATACTTTGAGGCTTGATGTGTTCTTACACTACGATTTTGAACATTCAAAGCAACTGGGAAACGCCCATGGCAGGCATTGTCACCTTAGCTTGCTACACAACTTCTGAGTGATATGAAGCACGAGCACCACCACCAATCAGCCTACACCACTGTGCATACACTTGTCGTTACTATGACAACTAGCGTAGCCATGTCAGCAAATGACCGCTGTCTGAACACAAACTCATCCGATTTGGTCACTTGTAACTTGCTGTTTGGACATTCAGTAGTACATAACGGATTTGAAAAACAAAACTGATTTGAGCATTTAAGGCCTGCAGTGTGAACAAGGCTTAAGAGATTTCCACACCAGGGGCAGGTTGCACCAGTTGGTCTTAAATGCTAGGTCGGGCGTAGCTACGTCCGACTTTGGGATCAGAATTGACACCTGTTGCAAAAATAAGACTAGTCGTAAAGTCCGGCGTAAGCAATGCGTGTTCATATATATATATATATATATATATATATATATATTTCTTTATTATATAGAATATTTGATGCTTCATAATGATGGTTGCTAGGCAGCGTCCGTTACTAGGCTGTTACCATCCTTGTGGCAGTTCTAAACTTTGCAAGGCATGTCCCATCACTTCGCATAGCCCACCACTAAGCATGCACGTTTTCTCAACCACAACTGGATGGATCAATCAATAATTACTGTGGGAATAAATATCACTGAATGACAGAGATTGGAATAAAGTAGTCTAATGCCATTTGAAGGCATTTATCATATTGTTGCTTACTGAGTCATCAAAACAAAAAGTGTCATTTGGGTTTTTTGTACCCCCATTTTCATGATATCCAATTTAGTCTTCCAAACCCTCCCCTAACCCGGACGACGCTGGGCCAATTGTGCGCCGCCTCATGGGTCTCCCGGTCGTGGCCGGCTGCGACACAGCCCGGGATTTAACCCGGGTCTGTAGTGACGCCTCAAGCACTGCGATTCAGTGCCTTAGACCGCTGCACCACTCGGGAGGCCCATTTTGAAATACTTTAAAGAAATAGCTGTGTGTGGTCAACTAAAATTTCAGCACCGTTATGATTGGGACAGTGTTATCGCGCTGGTTTGTGACAAGCGTGGGGACTCTTTATATCTTGATAAATTAATCAGATTTTTGTTTTCACAATCTCTGTTTTGGATATTTGGTTATAATTAGGCTGGGAAAATGTTAGCCAAATTGAGGTGAGTGTTCATGATGATAATCTTAAGTCTAGTTAGTCTAACAGTGTTATCAGAACATTTTGCTAGCATGTTATGTAGCCTACGCTAGGCTAGTATAACAGGTGGATTATTCTGCTCTTCACTCGCGTAGTAGCCTAGGCTATATCCCGACTAAAAGCCCTTGACTTGTCTGATAATCAATCAGTGATTTTGTTTCTCTGTGTATTTGTTTATTTGATCTCTGGCTGGGCAGCTCATCTATTACTTTGCTAATATCTGATCAGACACATTTAGCATGCTATAATGTAGCCGCTAATATCTGATCAGACACATTTAGCATGCTATAATGTAGCTGCTAATAGCTGATCAGACACATTTATCATGCTATAATGTAGCCGCTAATATCTGATCAGACACATTTAGCATGCTATAATGTATCTGCTAATAGCTGATCAGACACATTTATCATGCTATAATGTAGCTGCTAATATCTGATCAGACACATTTAGCATGCTATAATGTAGCTGCTAATATCTGATCAGACACATTTAGCATGCTATAATGTAGCCGCTAATATCTGATCAGACACATTTAGCATGCTATAATGTATCTGCTAATAGCTGATCAGACACATTTATCATGCTATAATGTAGCTGCTAATATCTGATCAGACACATTTAGCATGCTATAATGTAGCTGCTAATATCTGATCAAACACATTTAGCATGCTATAATGTAGCATAAATCAAGTGTATTATTTTGGTACTTACTCGCACATAGGCAACTCGAAAAGGAGGTTGTGAGATGTGAACACAAGACTTGCATCCTTTTTGAAAATATAGATTGCTATTCTATGCGTATCATGATGAAGATGAGTCCCAATTTTAACACCCTACACCTTCTCCCTACTAGGTGTAGAATCTAGGACCGGGCGTAGCTCACGACCAGGTGGTGCAACAGGCTGCCGATGTGCCCTTGAGCAAGGCACTTAACCCTAATTGATAAGAGCGTCTGCTAAATGACTAAAATGTAAATGTATAATTTCTAGGTCGGGCGTGGAGTTATGACCCACAGGTGCAACCGGCCCCTAGATTGTGCAACATTTTCCCATTTTTATATTTGATTATTTTCTCAATTCTTCAAGCTTTTGTCAAATTGGATGTTGATCATTGCTAGACAACCATTTTCAGGTCTTGCCATAGATTTAAAAGTAGATTTAAGTCAAAACTGTAACTCGGCCACTCAGGAACATTCACTGTCTTCTTGGTAAGTAACTCCAGTGTGGATTTGGCCTTGTGTTTTAGGTTATTGTCCTGCTGAAAGGTGAATTAATCTCCCAGTGTCTGGCGGAAAGCAGACTGTGCTTAGCTCCATTTACGTTCCTTTATAGGGCGCAAACATATAACACTTTGTATTCAGGACAACAAGTGAATTGCTTTGCTACATTGTTAGCAGTATTACTTTAGTGCCTTATTGCAAACAGGATGCATGTTTTGGAATATTTTTTTTTTCTGTACAGGCTTCCTTCATTTCACTCTGTCAATTAGGTTATTATTGTGGAGTAACTACAATGTTCTTGATCCATCCTCAGTTTTCTCCTATCGCATCCATTAAACTGTTTTTAAAGTCACCATTGGCCTCATGGTGAAATCCCTGAGTGGTTTCCTTCCAGCAACGGAGTTAGGAAGGACACCGGTATCGATACACCAGCCAAAGTCTAATTAATAACTTCACCATGCTCAAATGGATATTAAATGATTGCGCACAGTGAGTCCAAGTCCATGCAACTTATTATGTGACTTGATAAAGCAATTTTTTTACTCCTGAACTTATTTAGGCTTGCCATAACAAAGGGGTTGAATACTTATTGACGCAATAAATTTCAGCTTTTAATTTCTAATTAATTTGTACACATTTCAGAAAATTATTCCACTTTTGACATTATGGGGTATTGTGTGTAGGCAGGCCAGTGACAAAAAAATCTAAATTTTATCCATTTTAAATTCAGGCTGTAACACAACAAAATGTGGGAAAAATCGAGGGGTGTGAATACTCTCTGAAGGCGCTGTGTATGTCTCTCTCTCACTCTCTATTTAAGTTCAACTAAAATGTAGACGTCTATATTGCTGTGCTGTACTCTAAATCTGTCTCCCTCCTCAGCTGAGCCTCTCCCTCTGATGGACCTGTGTCGGCGCTCTGTGAGGGTAGCTCTGGGCCGAGAACGACTGAGTGAGATCCATGCTCTGCCCCTACCAGCCTCGCTCAAGAATTACCTGCTCTACCAATGACCCCTCAGCACAACAACATAGAACATGACCTCAGATCCATGGTCTGCCCCGTCTGTTCCCTCAATGCATACACAGAACACGCTTCACCCTTGCTCTCTCTGTCTCTGGGATTTCCCCTCTCCGGAGGGTAACCAACCTGTTCCACAATTCAGCACATGACTCCAGCCTCTGGGTTTAGGACTCTGACTCATCCTTCCCATCCCTCAGGGCTGGTTTGTACCAATCACATTTTACGACGGAGTGAGAACACCATTGTGTGATGTTTGGAGTGTTCAGGAAGCTGTAGACACCGTGGTTGGTGATGGGTCAAGTCTTCTTTCGGGTTTTTATAATCCTGTTTTTATGGTTTACTTCAATTATATATACTGGGATATCCATGTCTGTGATGGACATGACATGCAAAGGACTTTATGCCGATCTTTACTGGTCCTGAGGACTAGGAGATGACTGCCACAGTCGTACTCCAGTATGTATGTCTGTCTGTCTGTGTGTATGTTGAAATGCAATGAGTTTGATGGTACGTAAGTCTGTTGTGACCACAACACCTCTTAATAGTGATTGACTTTGTCTCTCCTTTTCAGTATGTCTTTTTAAATGAAATATCAATCAAGTGATTGCTGTGTGACATGTCCTGTTGGTAAATAGTTAGATTATTGTGTTGGAATCAAACCCCCCCCCCCCCCCCCCCCCCCCCCTCTTCAGGGCCCTTGTGTGGTATAATAGATTACTTTGTTGCGTGTTGAAAATATATTTGTAAGCATTTTCTACGCATAAAGATGGTACCATTTCTCATCTTTACCTGTTGTTCCTCTTCAATGGTCGATCAGGAAATAGTACTCCCTTTTTATATGCTTAAGATTTTATGAGATTTCCTTGGAAGGTTTGATAAAGTTAGTACTCATGGTGGATCTAGCCCGGCGATGACCCAGCACTGACCTCTGATGTTAATAAGGAGGTGATACATCTCCATTTCTCCTGGAAGCAGCAGCAGCACCGTAGTTTGTCCCTCAAGGTGACCGCACACCTCCTACCCCCACCCTTTTTTTAAAGGATCAGTTCACCCAAATAAATAAATAAATTTTAAAAAAGTACATCTTTGTTTCCTGACCATTGTAAGCAGTCTAGGGACAAGGACAGAGTGCAATCCAAGCTTTGGGTTTGTTTACCTAGACTCCCGTTACCCATAGACTGCTTTCAGGGTAAGAAAGTGTCATTTTGTCATTTTGGGGTCGAACGGTCCCTTTTTAACTCTGTTCTGCTGCACTATCAGGTTTTCTCCCTGCAATATTCGAAACGCCTGTTTTGTGTTATGTACTGTTGGGGGACATCGTAGATTTGAAGATGGTTGTTTTTTACTGAAGAGGTTTTTATATAAACTGAAGGATGACATCACTGTGAGCATTTCTAGCATGCACCAGCAGACTGTTTTCTCATTGCCCACAAAAGCCAATACAATCACTGTACAATGTCCATGTTCTTTCTCTCTGCTTTGGACCCGTACATAGTGTTTCATGTATTTAGAGGACTTGTTTGGGTATAGGGGGGATGGTTGTGGGGGATTCTGAAATGTAAGCGTATGTGTGGTGATGTCATCAGAAGGTATGGTGTCTTTTTAAAAAATTAGTTAACCATTTTGTTTTGTTTTAGTTGGAAAGCATCTGTTCAAATGGCACCCTATTCCCCGTATAGTAGACTACTTTTGTTTTAATGGTCAGGTGTAGTCCGTGTGTGGCGTTGTGCTGAGCGTTGACCATGCTGCGCCCATCCGGTTTTTTATCTCCTTCTAGTTTGCAACATCTCATTTTTCTTTGTGTTTCTTTATGTAGATGGTTTGTAACTACCTAATAAAAGTTGATTTCAAATTATATTTTCTGTTGCGCTGTCAAGTGACTTGTGTGTAATTTTGTGGGGTCCTCGAAGTATCGACAAGGTAATAGAACCAAGTGTGTGTGTGTGTGTGTGTGTGTGTGTGTGAATCGAAATGGAACTGAATTGTGTAAAGTTTGAAATATGGTAGACATTTTGAATCTCATCTGTTGCTTGCAATGATCATGGGTTTGATTCCAGCTGGGGCCTCCCATATGAAAAATATGCACACGCTTTGGATAAAGACGTCTGATTGGTAGGAAATGGGAGCTCCGCCAGCATCTTCCTTATCTAGCCGTCAGGGGATGCTAAAGAGCAGATACTGGCCTTCTGGCATCAACTACCTGTTTGACCATTCAACTGATTCTCAAAAGTCAAAAGAATCTCTTCTGAAACATTTCACCCCATGTGAATGGTGTGCTGTAGTGACTTAGAAATGTGTGTGTGTGATCGTAATCAAGACTGGATAATTCTGCAGTCTTGGCTCTTGCAACAAAAAACAAACAGTGAACGTCCACTACTTTTTATATAAGTCAACAAACCTGTTTTATTGTCGCCCAGGGTCAAAAAACATTAAGATATTTGTCATTGCTCATACTTTGAGTCAATGTCCTGTAACTGATTTGTTTATTAAGTGAATTGTTGAAGAGGTTTTAAATGCTCTAAATTTACAAACAATGATAACTGTCTCTGGATGTTTTTTTTACCCTGACCAATAAAACCGGTTCACTGATAAGGCAGCAACTTTCCACTGACAAACAACCCAATTTCCAGGTGGTTGAATAACCTACTTATCTGTCTATTCCATAGGTTATGAACCTTGATATCATGTTGAGTAGTACTTTATTGATCCCAACTTGGGAAGTTGTTTTCTCACTCTGCATCATCAATAAATCATGAGGACAAAACCCGTAACAATGACAAACATGATAAGAAACTGACATATGAAGGCACCTGCATCTTAGCAACCATACAATAATAGTCTGATTCAAAGGAGTTAAGAAATGCTGTTGTCGATCCTACGCCGGGGAGACGAGCAACAACAACATTCATCAGAAGACAGGTCATCATCACTCTCATTAAAAAGCCTCATGGCTGTGGGTAAGAACGACCATCTTAAACCTCTCTGTGGCGCTTCTGGGCAGGATGAAACTGCTACTGAAACTATTTCCCCTTAGTAAGCATGTCAGTGACATTCCACCTCTTACACACCTCCAGACCTGGGTTCAACCAGGTGTTTGTGTTTTTTGGGACTTTCTGATTCCATTTCAACAAGGAAAGCTCCATCGAGTATCTCCAATAGTGCTTGAACCCAGGTTTGCACACCCTCACCTCCCATTGGCTGGGCTGGCTGGGCTGGCTGGCTGGCTGCTCAGTTGACACACAACACGCCATGTCACGCGTCTACAGACCTCTCTTCAGATGCCACAGTCATGGTGTCGGGTGTCACGTTCACCCCATAACTAAAATGGAAGAACAATATGTATATATTTTTTCTCTGTCTGCTTGTTCTAGGACGAAGTAGAAGTTGATAGAGGATTGACCTACAAGTCTACTGTCAGAAACTAGGGTGTTTACTTTGTGCTCAAACAGTGAAGGTGCTGTGCAGCACACAAACCAAAAATCATTGTTGCGTAACATATGTGCCCCTAGCAAAAAATGACATCCAGTTGTTATGAAAACAAATGTTTTTTTTGTGTGTGTGTGTGTGGTAAAACTGGGACGTTTGTAACTGATTGATCAGTATCCAGAACAGCAGCCTAGGAGGCGCATTAATTTACATATCGGTTCACTTTTATAAATTAGTAATAAACCTAGAAGCAGACAATTGGTCTGTTGAAAACTGGAAAAAGACAGCCAGTGGCCAAAATACAAATCAAGCCTTTACCCCTTCAATGGGATGGGGGGGGGGTTGTGCTGAAGTGGTCACAGGTGTAGACCATAGACTTAGATAGACATCACATCATTGTATCTGTCCCATTATGGCGTCTGTGAGAGCATTGGTCTCTATTTTGAAGTTGTCCATTTTCTTCTTCTACTACTTCTATGAGTTGGGAAACAAACTGAAAGGGTGCATACTGCCCCCCGGAGGGTGTTGTTTGAACAGGTATAAAGCCAAGATTGGCAATTTACAGCCACCTGTAGTTCTGGAATGTTTGCTCAAGAGTATAATTCATTGGCTGATCCCTCCTGATGACCTGGAAGGAATGATGTGATCCTTCCTAAACCCAGTTGACTACTTTAAAATGGTGGAAGCCTTCAAAGGCAACGTCAGTGCAAAAACGGGGTTTATCCATCCAGAGGCCTCTATAATTCTCTATGGTGTAGACCTTCAGCTCTATGGATTTAGAGCTAGCCTTGTGTGTGTCAACTAGTTCAATCACTCTGTATGCATTAAGATTTGATCTCTTTCTGTCCCCCTCTCCTTTATGTCGTCTCTTGATACACTGGCTAAGTGAAAGTAACATGTTATATAATCCTATAAAATTACTTCCACCTGTACAGTTCTTTCTTATCAGTAACCTTGACTAAAAGAAGGAGAAGGGTAGGATAGGACAGGACACATTTTAGTCATTTTAGCAGACGCTCTTATCCAGAGCGACTTACAGTTAGTGAGGGCATACATTTGTTTCATACATCAGACGCGCTCCCTTGAGTACATTGTTTAATTGGATACTATTAATCTCTCTCTCTTTGTTGTCAACTGTTCCGTCAATCAATTGGTCAATCTTTCTTTCCATAAATAAAAGAGCCAACCCCTGTTGTCAGACCTCTCTACGTCACCGACAACTCCCATGACGCAAATTAATTCATCTCTTCAGATTCTGCAGTAGAGGTGGACCTATTCAGAGAAAGCCGGGTGGACGAGCAAGAAAACCCACCTTATCGCCTCTGATTTATAAAGATTACATTTACGGGAAGAAAAAATAAGATTATGGTTATAGTTTAAAAAATAAAAAATGGCACAAAATAATAATACGCTATTACATCTCTTCGCAGGGGGGTAAGTGTTCCTTTCCGACCTTTTTCTCAAATGTGACAGCTAGCTAGCATTAGCATAGCTGAATATTTTAAAAGGAAGTTACAGTAAGTAGCAAGCTACTTGCTCTCGTTCCGAGGGCTAGCTAGCTCTTTACAACATGCGGTCGTTTGCTAACTCTAATGGTGTACAATGTCAATGTGTTCCAGAACAGTATTTTAACTGGCTAACTAGCATACGTTTACTGTATCATCCCGTCTAGTTTGAACCAGTACCTGCAGGGTTTTGAGGAGACGATGTGTGTATATGACAGGAGGAGATCCTCGTCATATTCATCGTCTCCTCAAGCCAAGGTACTGGTTCAGTCTAGTTATGCGATGTCAGGTGGCCAAATATTGTCCTTCTCACTGCTAGCCGTGTTAGTTAGCTTGGCTAATCCACCGGATATTGGTTTCTGAAGCCGTGTTAGCTATCACGTTAACAGTTAACTAACTACCTTTTTTATGCATGAAATTTGGGGAATCTTAGCCATTTGTAATGCTCTCTATTTCTATAAAGTTCATAACACTTGAGATATAATAAACGTAAATACAGCATCGTAAAATCAAGATGATGAATGTTTTAATTTGATGTGGTATTAGTTGGCAAGTTGCGCAGTCTATTCTGACCGTACGTAGATCTCCTCGCATTACATGGTCGTCACTAGTTGCCACAAAGGCATAAACTCTGCCTATTTCTAAAATGTATCTTAATAAAATCAGATTTTAAACCTAACCTTTAACCATACTGCTAACCTTATGCCTAACCTTAACTTTTAAATTAAGACCAAAAGCAAATTTTTTTTAACGTCAGGGTTTCCCAAACTCGGTCCTGTGGTCCCCCCTGGGTGCACGTTTTGGTTTTTGCCCTAGCGCTACACAGCTGATTGAAATAAGCAAAGCTTGATGAGTTGGTTATTTGAATCAGCTGTGTAATGCTAGGGCAAAAACCAAAACGTGCACCCAGGGGGGACCAAAGGACCGAGTTTGGGAAACCCTGATTCTTGTGACCATGCAAAGTGCTAAGCTAGCAAGCTTTTCTCATGTTACCTACTGCAGCTTAGAATGGAGGAATATATTATATGTATAGCTAACATTCTATTCTGCAATAGAGGGGAAATATGGAAGATGATCAAAACTCAAGGTACCCATCCTAAAATGTATGTTCGCAGAGAGGAGAGAGAATCTTTAACTTGGGAGCTTTTTTTGGAAGCTAGTACTTATGTCACTCAAGCTGTTAAGGTCATCAGTTGACAGCTGTTGACATTTGGGAAAGCACTATTCAATACCTAGAGCTGATATTGCATTTACTACAGTCTGATACTATATTAATCCCACAGAGGAATAGAAATCCCAGTCATATACAGTATATCGTGTGTGTCTTAGAATATCTTAGCCAATGACAAGAAGTACCATAATGTTTTTTTTACCATTGTTTTTCTACAGGAGACTGGAGCAAACAGATTAGTTTCCTCTCATTTCAGGCAATACTACATTTTATTTTAGCTTGAGATCCTAAATCTAGTCTAACTTGTCTTGCAAGTTCTGGTCACTTTGCATAGGCTGCTATGGTGCAGTGCACTTTCCAGGCACGACATTGAGAACTAGCCTGTATATTTACATAGGACTTAATTTTGTAAATGAATGGTGGTTTCTAGTTTCAAATGTAAACTTTAACTTTGAGTGTCTGTTAGAGCGTCTGGACTGTAGCCATATTATGGTTAGTACACATGGGTGCGTAGGGTTATATGACACTGTATGATACAGCGTCACATTACCTTATGGTGTCCCAGACCACTAGGAGGATTGACGTGATAAACAATGAATGTATGTCTAGCTGGGTGTTTTGGAATTGGAAGCCCTTGCATTTTGACCTGCCCTTCAGACAAAGAGTACATGGCAGTACAAGGCAGGCAAGATAGACCCACTAGAGGAAGCTTATGCTAAACTAATCTGATTCTGTCTAAGCTCGTCTTGGATGGACAGGGGTTGTAGACGGGTATTTTTATGATGTCACTCGAGACTATCCCTCACTTGTTAAGGTCATGAATCAAATGAAGTGCATGGTTTGGAGATTTAAACGGCTATTAGGCTCAAGCTATAGGGATGCCCTTTAGTGTTTTATACCCCCCGACACGTAAAATACCTGGTCACTCATTGGTCAGCAAACGTTCTCCACTTCTGGTGGTCTATGGTCATCTTTTACACTGAGGTTATTGGAGCTCAGTCTCTATTGTCCTCCGCCATGTTAATAACTTTATTAATAATGCCGTATCCATGTGTTTTCCTCTTCTCAGGGAAGATGTAGTACAGCTGACTTAAAAGGCCTGAATATATTATGTTATTAAAAAGCATGAGCTGGCGCACACCCAGAGAACATTATTTTGTGTGGAGGTGCTGACTAACAGTGAATAAACTGTAAGCTATAAAAGTCTCACACTACGCCGCCAGGGACTCAAATCCTGCAGTGCCAGACGTGTCCCCCTGCTTAAGCCAGTACATGTCCAGGCCCGTCTGAAGTTTGCTAGAGTGCATTTGGATGATCCAGAAGAGGACTGGGAGAATGTCATATGGTCAGATGAAACCAAAATATAACTTTTTGGTAAAAACTCAACTCGTCGTGTTTGGAGGACAAAGAATGCTGAGTTGCATCCAAAGAACACCATACCTACTGTGAAGCATGGGGGTGGAAACATCATGCTTTGGGGCTGTTTTTCTGCAAAGGGACCAGGACGACTGATCCGTGTAAAGGAAAGAATGAAAGGGGCCATGTATTGTGAGATTTTGAGTGAAAACCTCCTTCCATCAGCAAGGGCATTGAAGATGAAACGTGGCTGGGTTTTTCAGCATGACAATGATCCCAAACACACCGCCCGGGCAACGAAGGAGTGGCTTCGTAAGAAGCATTTCAAGGTCCTGGAGTGGCCTAGCCAGTCTCCAGATCTCAACCCCATAGAAAATCTTTGGAGGGAGTTGAAAGTCCGTGTTGCCCAGCGACAGCCCCAAAACATCACTGCTCTAGAGGAGATCTGCATGGAGGAATGGGCCAAAATACCAGCAACAGTGTGTGAAAACCTTGTGAAGACTTACAGAAAACGTTTGACCTGTGTCATTGCCAACAAAGGGTATATAACAAAGTATTGAGAAACTTTTGTTATTGACCAAATACTTATTTTCCACCATAATTTGCAAATAAATTCATTAAAAATCCTACAATGTGGATTTTTTTCCCTCATTTTGTCTGTCATAGTTGACATGTACCTATGATGAAAATTACAGGCCTCGCTCATCTTTAAGTGGGAGAACTTGCACAATTGGTGGCTGACTAAATACTTTTTTTCCCCCACTGTATGTATGTATGTGTATATATATATATATATAAACCTCCCAGTCATTTATTGGGTAAAACCCCAACGTTTTGGCATCACTGTGCCTTCTTCAGGTTACTGCGTTATTACCGTGTTATATAAAGGTCAACATGTTTTCATCTTCCTCTCTACAGATGTAGTGGTACGGTGGGAGCCATCGTGACCTGTCCTCTGGAGGTGCTGAAGACCAGGTTGCAGTCGTCAGGCATCACGCTCCGGCCCATGTTCCAGGTCCAACTGGGCACGCTCAATGGTACTGGGGTCATCAGACCAGGCTCAGGCACCGTTACACCACCTAGCCTGCTGCAGGTCTTACGGTAAGGGGTCGTCCCTCTTTTTCTTATTATTAGTGTGGGGATACTCTACTATGGGTCTTACGGTAAGGGGTCGTCCCTCTTTTTCTTATTATTAGTGTGGGGATACTCTACTATGGGTCTTACGGTAAGGGGTCGTCCCTCTTTTTCGTATTATTAGTGTGGAGATACTCTACTATGGGTCTTACGGTAAGGGGTCGTCCCTCTCTTTCTTATTATTAGTGTGGGGCTAGTCTACTATGGGTCTTACGGTAAGAGGTTGTCCTTCTTATTAAAAGATAAATAGTAATGGTGTCTTTTTGTAGGCACTCCTCCATGGTTCGTTGGACAAAGCCTATGGGGAAAATGAATGGCGTGTTTGGATAAACGCCGAAAATAAGGTCTGTGGTAAACACAGGCTTAGGATTTCTTATAAGTTTTGTTCTATGAGATAATCTTAATCAGGTAATGTCACTTTTTGTGAATTTTGAAGAGCACATAAAGGTTTCATAATTCATAAGGTCATGTTAACTGACTGCTATTATCTCATAGACAGGCGGCAGGTAGCTTAGTGGTTAAGAGCGTTGTGCCAGTAACCGAAAGGGCATTGCGTTCATCCACCTCTGGCCTGCTGGCTCCCCTACCTCTGCGGAAGCACAGTTCCCGCTCAGCCCAGTCAAAACTGTTCGCTGCTCTGGCACCCCAATGGTGGAACAAGCTCCCTCACGACGCCAGGACAGCGGAGTCACTCTCCACCTTCCGGAGACATTTGAAACCCCACCTCTTTAAGGAATACCTGGGATAGGATAAAGTAATCCTTCTACCCCCCCCCCCCCCCCCCCCCCCCCCCCCCCCAAAAAAAAAACAAACATTGTAAAGTGGTTATCCCACTGGCTATAAGGTGACTGCACCAATTTGTAAGTCGCTCTGGATAAGAGCGTCTGCTAAATGACGTAAATGTAAGGTCGCTGGTTCTAATCCCCGAGCCGACTAGGTGAAAAATCTGTCGATGTACCCTTGAGCAAGGCACTTAACCCTAATTGCTCCTGTAAGTCGCTCTGGATAAGATCTCCTAAGCCTGTGTTAACCTCAGACCTTATTTTCGGCATTTATTCCAAAACCCAATTCTTTCCTCATTCATTTTCCCTATAGGGATGGCTGAACGAACCAGAAGTAACTCATTTCTGGGTTTTAGGGCTACAAGCTGGCGAGCTCTATTAGCATGGGGACAGTCTACTATGGGTCTTACGGTAAGGGGCTCTTACGGTAAGGGGCTCTTACGGTAAGGGGCTCTTACGGTAAGGGGCTCTTACGGTAAGGGGCTCTTACGGTAAGGGGCTCTTATAAGTGTGGGGCATAGGAGGCTGCTGAGGGGAGAACAGCTCGTAATAATGGCCGGAACGGAGCAAATGGAATGCCATTAACCACATGGATGTAGTTGTTACCGTGCCGCTCCAGTCATTACCACGAGCCGATTCTCCCCAATTAGGGTGTGGGGCTACTATAGGTATTACGGTAAGGTGCTCTCCCTGTTTTCTTTCATTAGCGTGGAGTTACCACAGCTATGCCAGGCACGCCTAACCACTTAAATTACCTTCTATTTATCCCTAATGGCAATTAGGCCTTTTGCTGGTCATAGATGGGTTAGATGACGACGTCACAAAAATGCGAGTCTATGGGGCAGAAGGCTGTGTGTTATGAATCTGGACAGTCCGACAGCTAGCAACAAGGACAAGAAGCTGCCATGTGGGGAATCGTAGGTGGCTCGTTGTACCTTGTTATTGATACCATGTCTTGTTTTGACTCTTTTGATAATGTGGCTAAAATTCGCCAGCTAGCTAAACCAACAAATGTAACAATGTATTTGAGCAACAACAAGTGCTGATTGTGCAACTGTATTTATGTTTTCAATAAAGATTTGGAGAGGAAATATAGTTTCCTGTTTTGCACCACGGTTGCGCACGCATCAATTTTGTTTTGTTGCTTAACAACCCACCCGTCTATAGGAGACCAGTAAACAACACCACAGCAGGAAGAACTAAAACCACAACCGCAGGATATTATCAACTTTCACCACCTGCACCCCCTTACCATGACAATGTAGTTACCGATCCACTTGATAGAACTCTCCTGATTGCCAGATGCCTGCTGTTCCAGTTGCCAGTGGATGTGAATGCTGCATCCCTTGAGAATGTAGCCTTGGGGATCTGTGTCGTGCCAGGCTACCCACAGGGCTGTCACACCACAACGAATGACTAGTCTAAGAATAGGCTAGAATTGTTATTTTATTTATGTATTTATTTATTTATTTATATATATATATTAGTACCAGTCAAAAGTTTGGCCACACCTACTCATTCAAGGGTTTTTCTTTATTTTAACTATTTTCTATGTTGTAGAATAATAGTGAAGACATCACAACTATGGAATCATGTAGCAACCAAAAAAGTGTTAAACAAATCATAATGTATTTTAGATCCTTCAAAGTAGCCACCCTTTGCCTTGATGACAGCTTTGCACACTCTTGGCATTCTCTCAACCAGCTTCATGAGGAATGCTTTTCCAACTGTCTTGAAGGAGTTCCCACATATGCTGAGCACTTGTTTGCTGCTTTTCCTTCACTCTGCAGTCCAACTCATCCCAAACCATTTCAATTGGGTTGAGGTTGGGTGATTTGTGGAGGCCAGGTCATCTGATGCAGCACTCCATCACTCTCCTTCTTGTTCAAATAGCCCTTAAACAGCCTAGTGTGTTTTGGGTCATTGTCCTGTTAAAAAACTAATGATAGTCCCACTAAGCGCAAACCAGATGGGATGGCGTATCGCTGCAGAATGCCTTGGTAGCCATGCTTAAGTGTGCCTTTGAATTCTAAATAAAGTGTCACCAGCAAATCACCCCCACACCATCACACCACCTCCTCCATGCTTCACGGTGGAACCATACACGCAGAGATCATCCGTTCACCTACTCTGCGTCTCACAAATACACAAATTTGGAGACCAAAGGACAGATTTACACTGTTCTAATGTCCATTGTTTGTGTTTCTTGGCCCAAGCAAGTGTCTTCTTCTTATTGGTGTCCTTTTAGTAGTAGTTTCTTTGCAGCAATTTGACCATGAAGGCCTGATTCACGCAGTGTCCTCTGAACTGTTGATGTTGAGTTGTCTAACTTGAACTCTGAAGCATTTATATGGGTTGCAATCTGAGGTGCAGTTAACTGTAATGAACCTATCCTCTGCAGCAGAGGTATCTCTAGATCTTCCTTTCCTGTTGCGGTCCTCATGAGAGCCAGTTTCATCATAGCGCTTGATGGTTTTTGCGACAAACACTTGAAGGAACTTTAAAAGTTCTTGATTTTCTTGATTGACTGACCTTAGTCTTAAATTAATGATGGATTATCGTTTCTCTTTGCTTATTTGAGATGTTCTTGCCATAATATGGACTTGGTCTTTTACCAAATAGGGCTATTTTTAAAAACGTTTTATTTATATCACCTTTATTTAATCAGGTAAGCCAGTTGAGAACAAGTTCTCATTTACAACTGCGACCTGGCCAAGATAAAGCAAAGCAGTGCGATTAAAAACAACAACAACACAGAGTTACATATGGGATAAACAAAAACGTACAGTCAATAACACAATAGAAAATCTATATACGGTGTGTGCAAATGTAGTAAGTTATGGAGGTAAGGCAATAAATAGGCCATAGTGCAAAATAATTACAATTTAGGATTAACACTGGAGTGATAGATGTGCAGAAGATGATGTGCAAATAGAGATACTGGGGTGCAAATGAGCAAAATAAATAACAATGTAAATAACAATATGGGGATGAGGTAGTTGGGTGGGCTAATTACAGATGGGCTGTGTACAGGTACAGTGATCGGTAAGCTGCTCTGACAACTGATGCTTAAAGTTAATGAGGGAGATAAGTGTCTCTAGCTTCAGAGATTTTTGTAGTTCGTTCCAGTCATTTGCAGCAGAGAACTGGAAGGAATGGTGGCCAAAGGAGGTGTTGGCTTTGGGGATGACCAGTGAGATATACCTGCTGGAGCGCAGACTACGGGTGGGTGTTGCTATGGTGACCAATGAGCTAAGATAAGGCGGGGATTTGCCTAGAAGTGATTTATAGATGACTTGGAGCCAGTGGTTTGCCGACAAATATGTAGTGAGGACCAGCCAACAAGAGCGTACAGGTCACAATGGTGGGTAGTATATGGGGCTTTGGTGACAAAACGGATGGCACTGTGATAGACTACATCCAATTTTGTAAATGACATCGCCGAAGTCAAGGATCGGTAGGATAGTCAGTTTTACGAGGGCATGTTTAGCAGCATGAGTGAAGGAGGCTTTGTTACGAAATAGGAAGCCGATTCTAGATTTAACTTTGGATTGGAGATGTTTAATGTGAGTCTGGAAGGAGAGTTTACGGTCTAACCAGACACCTAGGTATTTGTAGTTGTCCACATACTCTAGGTCAGACCCGCCGAGAGTAGTGATTCTAGTCGGGCGGGCGGGTGCAAGCAGCGTTCGATTGAAGAGCATGCATTTAGTTTTACTAGCGTTTAAGAGCAGTTGGAGGCCACAGAAGGAGTGTTGTATGGCATTGAAGCTCGTTTGGAGGTTTGTTAACACAGTGTCCAATGAAGGGCCAGATGTATACAAAATGGTGTCGTCTGCGTAGAGGTGGATCTGAGAGTCACCAGCAGCAAGAGCGACATCATTGATATACACAGAGAATAGAGTCAGCCCGAGAATTGAACCCTGTGGCACCCCCATAGAGACTGCCAGAGGTTCAGACAACAGGCCCTCCGATTTGACACATTGAACTCTATCTGAGAAGTAGTTGGTGAACCAGGCGAGGCAGTCAGTTGAGAAACCAAGGCTTTTTAGTCTGCCAATAAGAAAACGGTGATTGACCGAGTCAAAAGCCTTGGCCAGGTCGATGAAGACGGCTGCACAGTACTGTCTTTTATCAATCGCGGTTAATATATCGTTTAGGACCTTGAGCGTGGCTGAGGTTGTACCCATGACCAGCTCGGAAACCAGATTGCATAGCGGAGAAGGTACGGTGGGATTCGAAGTGGTCGGTGATCTGTTTGTTAACTTGGCCTTCAAATACTTTTGAAAGGCAGGATAGGATGGATATAGGTCTGTAACAGTTTGGATCTAGAGTGTCACCCCCTTTTGAAGAGGTGGATGACCGCGGCAGCTTTCCAATCTCTGGGGATCTCAGACGATACGAAAGAGAAGTTGAACAGGCTAGTAATAGGGGTTGCGACAATTTCGGCGGCTAATTTTAGAAAGAGAGGGTCCAGATTGTCTAGCCCAGCTGATTTGTAGGGGTCCAGATTTTTGCAGCTCTTTCAGGACATCAGCTATCTTAATTTGGGTGAAGGAGAAGCGGGGGGGGGGCATGGGCAAATTGCAGCGGAGGGTGCAGAGCTGGTGGCCGGGGTAGGGGTAGCCAGGTGGAAAGCATGGCCAGCCGTAGCAAAATGCTTATTGAAATTCTCGATTATTGTAGATTTATAGGTGGTGATAGTGTTTCCTAGCCTCAGTGCAGTGGGTAGCTGGGAGGAGGTGCTTTTATTCTCCATGGACTTTACAGTGTCCCTGAAAAGTTGCATATCGCGGGGGCTGTTCGATGCTAATGCAGTACGCCACAGGATGTTTTTGTGCTGGTCAAGGGCAGTCAAGTCCTGGGGTGAACCAGGGGCTATATCTGTTCATAGTTCTGAATTTTTTGAATGAGGCATGCTTATTTAAGATGGAGAGGAAAGCACTTTTGAAGAACATCCAGGCATCCTCTACTGAAGGAATGAGGTCAATATCCATCCAGGATACCCGTGCCAGGTCAATTAGAAAGGCCTGCTCGCTGAAGTGTTTTAGGGAGCGTTTGACAGTGATGAGGGGTGGTCTTTTGACTGCGGACCAATTACGGAGGCAATGAGGCAGTGATCGCTGAGATCCTGGTTGAAGACAGTGGAGGTGTATTTAGAGGGTAAGTTAGTCAGGATGATATCTATGAGGGTACCCATGTTTACGGCTTTAGGGTTGTACCTGGTAGGTTCCTTGATAATTTGTGTGAGATTGAGGGCGTCTAGTTTAGATTGTAGGACGGCCGGGGTATTTAAGCATATCCCAGTTTAGGTCACCAAGCAGTACGAACTCTGAGGATAGATGGGGGGCAATCAGTTCACATATGGTGTCCAGGGTACAGCTCGTGGCTGAGGGGGGTCTGTAGCAAGCGGCAACAGTGAGAGACTTATTTCTGGAAAGGTGGATTTTTAGAAGTAGAAGCTCAAACTGTTTGGGCACAGACCTGGATAGGATGATAGCCTGCAGAGCTCTATCTCTATAGTAGATTGCAACCCCACCCCCTTTGGCAGTTCTATCTAGATGGAAAATGTTGTAGTTGGGGATGGACATGTCTGAATATCTGGTGGCCTTCCTAAGCCAAGATTCAGACACTGCTAGAACATCAGGGTTGGCGGAGTGTGCTAACGCAGTGAATAACTCAAACTTAGGGAGGAGGCTTCTGATGTTAACATGCAAGAAACCAAGGCTTTTACAGTTACAGAAGTCAACAAATGATAGCGCCTGGGGAGTAGGAGTGATACTGGGGGCTACAGGGCCTGGGTTAACCTCTACATCACCAGAGGAACAGAGAAGGAGTAGAATAAGGATACGGCTAAAGGCTTTAAGAACTGGTCTTCTAGTGCGTTGGGTACAGAGAATAAAAGGGGCAGATTTCCGGGCGTTGTAGAATAGATTCAGGGCATTATGTACAGACAAGGATATGGATGGATATGAGTACAGTGGATGTACACCTAAGCATTGGGTAACGATGAAAGCGATTGAGCTGGTCTCCACATGTATAGGGGGTGGGACAAAGAAGCTATCTGAGGCAGGTTGAGCGGGACTGGGGGCTTTACAGTGAAATAGTACAATAACAACTAACCCAAACAGCAATAGGCAAGGCATATTGACATGGGAGAGAGGCATAACGCAATCACAGGTGTTATTCGAGAGGGCTAAGACAACAACTGGTAATGGCAACGAAAGTTTGAGCTGAGGCTAAACAGATAAACAGGATGGGGTACCGTGTAAAGGAACAGCCCTGCGGGCATCAGATGTGTAGCTGAGTGATCATAAGATCCAGTGAACAGCAATAGGTAAGTCCGAGCACAGGCGAGCAGGAGGCACGGCTGTTGATTGCGCGTGCTAGCGGGCCGGTGCTAGCAGATGGATCTTCGTG